GACACGTTCACAGTCGTCGAAAAACTATGATAAACACGCTGAAACAATCAGCAACACAAACACAGCCTTCAGTCTACAATGGTGAAGACAGCTTCACGGCAAAGCACAAACAGCTCACGACTCAGTTCGTGTCTCTCAAGCTAATCTTACTACTTACTTAATCTTACTACTTACTTAATCTATTCCAAACATTTACTACTGAACTCAACATATTCTACTATAACTCAAGATACTCCTCTTCGCGTACAGACAAGGTATATCTTCAACCTACCTTCCAGCACATTCTCGAGAAAAACCGCAAAAAATGCGTTCTAGATTGTTCTCCCTTCGTTAAAGGTATACCACGAATGTTATCGCCAAATGTCGCAAATGGATGATTTCGAACCAAATCTGGCAACCTTAACCCCTCTTTGCGAAGAGGTATTTTACCGCAGCTGGTCATTCGAAACAGTATAACTGCTTGAACTCAGCCAATTGACACACGGTTCTGGTACGTTTTAGTTTTAACAGAAATTTCAACACAGGGGAAAAAATTCAGAAATTCCGACTTTTATTAAGAGAATAAATACTGCGGCTAAGCTCCGTACCACTGCACCTGCAATTAAGTTCACTTGAAAAATTACAAAGGAATCGAAAAAAAGAAGTCATAGACCTAGCACCAATAATACAGCGGTTAGTGATATGGCACTGCATATAAAAAAAACGGGGGAAAATGCTTGATGCATAGCTATGCTAGTTACAATGGAAACAAATGCGATACACGCCAGCGTCATCTGCACTGACATAGCACTAATTCAAATCTTCTAAACAAGGAAATAATGATTGCTTTCTGAGTTTTGTTATTAATGAATTCTTTTTTAAGTAACAAGGTAAAATAATTACAAGGAGAAATAGTCTAAATTTCTGAACACAACTAAACATTCAAAGAAAACATATCTCAGTAATTAAAAATATGCTTTCTTTAAAGAAAAAAATAAATCCAACATTAAACGGGAAAATGTTCACGAAAATGCAAAACAAGGAGTTAACTCTCCAAACTCCTTAATGAATTGACTATTTATTACATTTTTTTGCGTATAAAATTAAGCGAAAATGTTCTGCTTCCACACAATATTTTCCCATTTTTTTCAATCAAAGTTAAAAGAAGGGAAACTGTTGTAAAAGCACGTGTGAGTGTTCCCACAGAAAGCGAGCAGTTTAAGTAGATGTTTATAATTTATAGCTTTCCTTTTCAATGCATTTTAATAATTACTTTATGTTTTTTTTTCCTCTGTCTTTGAGCTGATAACAAAAAAATAATTTTCGGAAAGAACTGCCTCTCCCCCCAAACAAGATTTTCTTTCGGTAAATTTTGCACTTATTAAATAGACCCTCTAAATATTCAAATTATATCGCCGACATCGCAACAAAATCCCGAATTGCAGAATTGTTTTTTGAAAACCTCATTTAAAGGTTTCTGCACTCAGTAAGTTAATATATCATAAAACTCCAACACACAAAATGCTTGCAAAACGAAAGTAGCAAAAATGCAGATTCGCGGTTCTGGGAAAGTGTCAACAAAGCATGTAATATTTTACCGCATGCGAAGTTCACCAGTATCCGTGAGAATAAAACCACTCAGAATTGATATTCTATCCTCAGTCTGTTCCTTTGCGGAAGGAATGAGCTGGCCACATAGGATTTTCTGTTTTTTTTTTCCCGATTACTAATTAAAATGCAATCGAATCTTTTTATATTCCCTTCACGTATTTCTCCTAAGACAGACAGTCCTCGAGTGGTTTGCTGTAATTAATAAACTTCTGAAAGATACAATGAATGCCAGTTTGCTTTTGATCCCTCAAAAAGTGCTTCATGTGGTATCCCACCTACAGCAACTTTTTAAAATACGCACCTCCTCATTTACGATGGTATTAAAGGATTTTAGCAAATTGAAAGAGTCGACCACCTTCCGCAGTGGTCATTACCATGGTTACAAGGCAAGGCAAAAATGAGGATGACTTGAAATACTTATGCTAGAGTAACATATTACAGGCGTCCAATAGTGGATGAGTGATTAAGACCGCAAATACTGGCTGTATGTCCCACGCTTAAATCCTACTACATAAGAAGGAGAAGACATCTATTTTGTGCTCAAACCGCTTTCTTTAACATCGAGGGCGATAGATGATCACAGTCTTCCGATGAAAAATTTGTTAATTTCCCCTCCCCCTCCCAGCCACACAATCTAAATATGTGGTTAAAATCCGAAACATCCCTCAGATCATTAATAAAAGACAATAAATACATTTGAGTTCATTTAAAAAAATCCTTTTAGAAAGATGCTTTTCTATTCCGATGAAGATAAATTGCGTGAATATTATTAAAGAGCGTAAAATGAAAACGCCACTGACACTAACTTTAATTAATTAAGAGAGAATAGCGGTTCATTAACCGAAGCTTGCTTAAGAATATGCTAACAATATACAACATTAAAATCGTACACAACAAGTTTAATAAACGACATGTGCATCTCTTTAAGAGGGGTAATATATAAAATATAGAGTTATACAATTAAGTTATGTTTATAGATTATAGGTTATAATTAATTTTCAAACTATATTATATACCAATTTTGTTTGTAATTTATAATTATGTTTATAATTATTTTACACTAAAGTATGTTTATAATTTACAATTATGTTTGTAATTATTATATACTAAATTATGTTAATAATTAGTTTTGAAATCTTTTATACAAATTTCATTTGTCACACTTTTAATGCTGTTAAAATAATCCGTTTAAATTATTGTTCTACAAATTTTGCTTAGTACGTATTCTTTCAAACCACTTTTCAAAACTCATGAAAGTTGAAAATTTTGCATGAAATTGTATTATATGCAGCAGTTTTGAAATCATGCTATATTTTTTAAGCATATATTTTTATTTTGCATAAACATTCTCGAAAAGATGGAATATTAAAAATATCATGAATCCCTTTATTAAAGGGATATAATTATCTCTTAAAACAATGTTTATTTGCATTTTTACATTCTTATGCCATACATTTTCCTCATTTTAAATTGAAAAAATATACTTTTTTAGTATAAAAAAAGAAGTAAGTAAAATTTCATTCAATGGATAAATCAGAAAGAAATTTTTATCTAATTTCTCATTACTATTATTATTCCCCACCTCCAATGCAGAAATTTATTACCTTATTGATAACTAACTTTAGCTAAAAATATTCTTAGTGTAGAATACAAGAATAATCCATCTTTTCGTTCACAACACATAAATAAAAATGTTTGCACTGACTATACATCGAATAATTCACTACAAAATTATTTTCCTACTAATGAAAACTTTCATATTCGCAAATTTACTTAAATATTTATTTATTTAAATGCTTTTTTTTTTTTTTTGGCTAAAACAGAATTGATTTATTTATTTAATAAGTTTAACTTTATTTTATTTAAATAAAAAAATTCTAAAATAAAAAAAATGAATATATATTGAGATATATGATCGGGAGATGTTAACTAATTTCTTGTTGTTGATAAAAGAATTTACTGCTGATTTTTAAATAAAAGAATTATAAATATTCTAAAATAGGAAAAAAAAAAAAAAAAAAAATTTTTTTTCCTCAGGAGAGGCATGCGATCAGAAGAAAACAATCAACTATTTTTGATTTGCTGATAGAAAAATTCATTATTTTATTGCTAGTTTCAGTCAAAATATATTTTTACTATAAAATAAAATGATAATATATCGCTCAACGGATATACACCTTTTGATATTCCAATGACAAAAACAATTCATGAAAAATATTCGTTAAATACTGATTTCTTGATAGTTTTTCAGATTCTACCGTTTACACAGAAAAAACAGCAAATTTTTTTATAAATTTTCTTTAGTGATCTACTTTTGCTAAAACTAAAAAATATAATCGAAATCAAATCCGTGTCTTTTAAAATAAATGACTTTTTTATTATTTCGTTGAAGTGCATACGAAACTAGGTCGGGGGAGAAAAAAATATGCTTCCAAAGTGCGGCTGAGAAATGTTTTTCCAAAAAGCACAACTTACCAGATCAATAGATCAGTTGAGAGAGAGAAAGAGAGTATGGAAAGCAGGGGGGAAAGTAAGGTGTTAAGAAATTTCAGTCACGCCTCCGTTGCCAAAACCCGAAAACACAAACTGCTCGCGGCCATATTTAGGGGGTCGAGAACTCGGATAAAAAAGGGGGCTCTAATTTCCGGAGGAGCAGCGTGCAATACCTCGCAGCAGCGTAGGTCCCCTGCGCGTACTCTTCTCTGCTCTGCGCCGAACACGTGCACATAGGATCAAGTTCAGTGACCGTCAGTGGGTTTCCATGGCTGCAAAAGTAGTGGAGCCATCTATCGCCCAATAAAATAAACATTTAACATTACGTGAAAAAATAATTCTAGTAACTTCGTAAAAACAATTGCTAATGGTCTTAATTACACATTAGCATCATTAAAATGGCGCGCAGTATCAATGGTAACAGTTGATTTATGCATCACAGAGCAGATGAGGAATACACTAACGCAAGATTTAAAAATTAAAACAAAAAGTCAGCCTTGTAGGTTGGAGGTCGAAGTTGGGAAGCATGACCTGAACGCATTCATTATATGGACACATTAAAAGTTACCGGGCTGGGCATTTTGCCACTTGATTGGCATTTACTTGGGGGGAAAAAATTAAAAACTAAGGCTTAGAGTTACAAAGCAAGTACAGACACACCTCAGAAGAGCTTTTGATGTGTCACATTAATTTTTTTTTACTCTCTCTGATAACATCCAAAACATACAGAAATAAATACAGACAAATAATTAAAATATGACTTAATCGGTTTCAAATTTATCAGAAAATATATTGCTTGCTAAAGAGACAGGACCTTGAAATTAGGCAAAACAGCAAAATCTCACTCCCGCCTCTCCTGTCAAAGATACTTTGTTTGACTAATTTTCAGTTTTCATTGTTCTTTCATCTCTTGATAGGATCTTCTTTTGCTTCGCATAAGTGATAATGAACAAAGAAAGCGTCAGAAGGGAGGATGAGAGGGATAAGGCTACCACAGCTAAGTCAAGTGTCAAGCCTCAAAATTTTACTTATGAAGACGTGTCCCACCAATGAGCTGTTTAGCAAAATGCTAAGCCGAAAATATAAAAGGTAATTCTTTTTATTTAGCAGTAACTGCTTTTATTGTATTCAAACAATATTTTCTTCAGTAAAAATGGTGTAGAAATAGCATGCATTGACAAATACACACGTAAAATTTCGAATGAAAAAGAGCGAACATAAATCTGTAGTTAATCACTCTTGAAATTCAACAAATAACAATATCTGGTATATAAACTCACGTTATACATATTATGCTGAAGGATATGCTGTATAAGACTTCTGATGATGATTAGCTCATGATCTCTTCTGATACATAAATGGGAGAGAAACTTTTAGGAGGAAGACGTTAGTAAATATAAACAGGAAATATGTTTAATGCTGAAGAAGAATAAATAAAATGGCAGATATTTTCAAATGGATTTAATTGGAACAAAATTGTATGAATTTGGGTAGATGGGTGACTCGACAATTAATCATCAAAATTCCAAACAGGGCTACATAGTAGCTATTCATAAAATTAAGCACTTTTTTAAAGAAATTTTTATAAAACGAAATAGTAATTAAAATAAAAACTACATATATGAATTCAACACATAAAAATTTGTGCTATGGCATTTGTCATAAAAAAGTTCTATCAAATTTTGGAAGAATAAATAACGCAAATTTTTGATCCGAACAAGTGGGGAATGAAGTCTTCAAATCCGTCGATAGAAAATTTATAGTTTTTTAATCATATTTTTTTATTCGCCAGTAACTGCTTTTATCGTATTCAAATAATATTTTCTTTAGAAAAATGATGTAGGAGTAGTATGCATTGACAAATATATATGTAAAAATTGGAATAAAATGGAACGAACACAAATATGTCTTTACTATGATGAAGATTTATTAGCACTTCGATAAACGATTACTATTAATAATTGCATCTACTATTAACAGATGGCGCCACTACTCAAATCCTTAACCTACTTCATCTTCAGTGCATGAATTTGAATATTTATTTAAATTCATTTTGCTTTTTAGGTTTATAGCATTGGGAATAACATAGGAATTTATTACATTTATTTAAAATTTATGCATAATAATTCATTTCATTTTCATTAGTTTATTAATTTTTTCTGGTAATTTACATGTGATAATGAAACCATTGTTCACATGCTTATCTTTGAAGTGTGTCGCTCGTTGCATATCGTCGAAATTACTTTACCAAAGTCTTCAGTAATCTCAGATATAATTTGAGAAATCAAATAACAAACAAAAACCTGATAACGCAAATCAAATCTTTAACGATTAATGTACTATCACTCACTCCAGTTAAAGGGTTTAATATTAAAGTCCAAATAAATGATAACTTAAGGACTTATTTATAAATTACCAATAAAATACGCAATATGTAGTACTATATCCACGATTAAAAAAAAAAAAAAAAAAAAGAGAAAGAGAGAGAGAGAGAGCCTTTCGTGAAGGAGATCCTGAAAACCTGAAATGAGAAAACCTGCATAAGTCAGATGAAAGTTTATGATAGTCCTAAAATTTCTTCCTTGCCATTCGCCCTGAAGTTACTGCGATGGGCCTCTATAGGGCAAATAGGGTAAGATACCTAACTCTTAAGTTCTGCTTTCGAGAATTGATGCACTTATTACGGATTTAATTTCCTTTATAATTGTACAATAGATAAGCCTTATGTACCTTTATAATATTAAAATAATCCAAACATATGCACATGCTTTTCCTAGGAATGACATCTTTTGATCAGCAACTAAATATTTGCAATAAATTTTAGAAAATTAATTATAGTATCTAACATTTACACTTTGTGCACCATTGTTATTCTCATCACTTATTATTGTTATTGTCATCAGCATATGTTATTTTTTATTTGTATTAACTGTATTCTCATCTTAACATTCCTCTTCTTTATTTCAGATTAACCCTTTGCGGCACAGTGTGTCCGATCTGGACACACCTAAAAATTTCCTTCTGTACGCATAGAAAAACTGAACGAAAAAGGATTTATTGGTTACTATAGGTTATAGTGCTATCTTCACAAAATTTTACTTGTGTACTCCTCTTGGCCAAATTAGACTGCCTACCCCCTTTTTTTTTTAAATCGAAACTCCGACTTTAAAAGGTAGCGTGCCGGAAAGGGTTAACTACTTTTCTATTTATGCACTTCCTTCCCATTTTTTAGGATTTATTTTCTTATACAGCTTAAAGTATTAACTACTTCTCTGCGCCACTTCGGCTTATAAAATGTTTCACCTTTCATACAAGGGAGGAAACTGTATACCAATGTTCTCAACGATCAAGATGCAAAGAAAACAAGTGTAAATACGACAAAATTAAACAGTTTGGCATAAAAAGAGCCGAACATCGGAAATGCTGGGAATGTTGCTTTTGAATTCCGTTGCTGTTATTGTAGTTTTCTGCGATGCCGCTGCTGATGATTAATTAAGTTGTTTTTAAGCGTTGTGTTGTTTAAGTAGTATTAATTGTTTGTAGTGATACTATAGGTAAGACTTCTGCTATGCATTTGCATTTTATTTGTACTAATTACAGATTGGTATAGCTATTCCTGTATTTCTATTTACAGGAATATGTAAATTGTGTCGTGTGGCATTCAACACTTAGACACATAATGCTATGTTTTTAGACATTGTTCAGTTATTACCAGGGTTCGTACACATTTCTGCACACGGAAATTAAGTACTTTTAAGGACTTTTAAGGACCATTAATGAAAAAATTAAGGACCTATGAGCAAATGGGAACTGAATAAAAAAAATTCAATTAATATTATCCATGCCTTAATTTCACTTTTGTAATCCCATCCTAAAAATGAAACAGATCCCTAAGTAGTATGCATTATTAATTAACATAATTATTAATAGGTTTGAATAAAATAAACTTCATGCAATTTATCAAGTAGCATTAAATTTTTTTAACTTATAATAGTTGACATATTTGAAACAAGATAAGTGACATTTACATTTTACTAACCGTTAGCTTTATGTTGATTTTTTTTTATGTCTCATTTTGTCACATACTTGGTCAGTCTAGAGATTTAGTAAATAGCAGGTAGATTTTTATGTCAAACGGCATAGGCTGAAATGAGAAGTAAGATCATAATCAGCATGATTCTTAACAAAAGACTGAATGTCTAGAACCACTGCTGCTTGTCTAGAAAGAGACCTGCTGATTAGAGCAAAACTGAAAGGACTGACTCAGGCATGGTTTAAAAGTGTTGAAAGTTATTCAGGCTCTGTTTGATGCCGTTAGTGTCGTAGCTTCGTGTAGAGTTCCAGGGATTGTAACCCAGTTGATATACTTTAAGGTTCCAATAAGCCATGAAAGCACCAGAGGTGATAAACTGTTTTGTACTATTTTAAGTCTCACTAGATGCAAAGAATAAGTTTTACTTGGATTTTTACATTTTTTTATTTTATCTTGTGACCACAGTGAATATTAATGAAAGTAAATAACTCACTTTAATATGTAAAGATAATTTTTAAGGGTAAGCAGTTAGTTATAAATAATTAAATTAGGTAGTTTTATAACCTTAATCATTATGGATTTACATGGCCACTATTAAATTTTATTTTTTAACAATATTTGTTAAAAAACACTAGTTTAATTTTTAAATCCTTTTTTGATTTTAAATCCTCCTTTGATATCCTATGGATTTAACAATTTGGGAATTGCCCATGACGAAAAGTACGCAATAGAATTTTGGGTAAAGTGCAGAATCACCCACTGCTTGACTCGTTTTTAAGAACTGCACATACATATCCATGTACACATCGACCTATTTTCACTTCAAAAAAAAAAAAAAAAAAAAAAAAAAACCAGAATTGCACAAAAATGGCACTGCGCACACCCTTTATCTATGTACACATCGACGTATTTTCACATAAAAAGAAACAGGAAACTGACAAAAATCCAATTTTTTTTACCCTTGTAAAAAGCGGCAAACAAATAAGTGGACGATTCTGCACTTTACAGATTACAGAGATTTTTTTTCAAAGAAAATGCATCATTCATTATAGAAAATTATGTTTGAACAACCAACGAGATGAAACTATGCTTTAGCGATAACTCGGTAGCGAAATAGTGATGCATGCATCCATTCAGTTATGTTTAGCAATTTTTATATAAATTATAATAATGATCTGAAATATGTAGTTATTTACTCTTATACTATTCAGTCATGTTTAGCCTTTTTTATATAAATTATAATAATAAAAAAGTACTATATGAAATTAGCCTTTCACCTAAATTAAAACATCAATCTTTGTCGTTATTTACTATTATACTTCCTTTCTTGCGTTAGGGTTGCCGCAATTATTTTTGGCAGCACTGGCATCAACAATAGTTTGGCGATTTTTTATGGCCCTCAAAATCGAATAGTACCTATTTTTTAAATAATTTCAATATATTACCTATACCTTAATGAAATTTATCAATGTTACAATGTTTTAAAAAAATCGTCGAAAAATTCTCAGATCTCGGAATTAAAAATTTTCTATAGAAGCTGATCGTAAAATCGCCAAACTGTTGATAAGACGCCAAATTTAGAACTGTTTAATAAAAAAATTCACATCCCCAAAGCGAAAAGTTGTTTAAGAGCTCTTTATTAAAAAAAAATGAATTTCGAAATGTTTATGTTTCACTTCTTGCTTAGAAATTCGAGTATTCCATCATTTATATTAGAAATAGAAACAAATTATAAACCATGAACCCATTCAAAAGATAACCATATGTGTCAGTGAAACGCCAAAAATATTCCTACAAAATGCTAATTCACATTTGAAATGGCAGTCGTAAAAACAGACAGAAATTTCAGATGATTAAAATTAAGGACCTTCTACCGATTTTGGCGAAAATTAAGGACTTTTAAGGACCAAAAACCGATTCCAAAAAATCTAAGGACTCTTAAGGACCGTACGAACCCTGATTACGTATTTGTTGAGTTAGTATGCACAGTGCTGAACCTAGACCGTCAGCCACCCTTTTTTTACAGAAATATAATATGTTTGATAATCATTTCACTGGCCTTAAATTTGGCCGCCCACTGGCTGTGGCAGCATTTGGTCCGTGCTTTGGATTGGCCTGAGTTGCAGCTAGATTCAGTATACATAGACGATGGTCTATGTGGCATTTGACCACACATATTCTTATTTAAACTGCAGGGGTATTCGCAGTTCTCCCTTTGTGCAACGTCTGCAAGCATGTTCCCTTAATAATTTTTCATGAATGAACTGTTGATACTTTGCATAATTTAATTAACCAAGCATCCAACAACAGCCTAAATTTCTACAAGTTATACAATGTAGTGTATGCCATATTAAAGATGCAACGTAAGGCAAACATACTGTTCTATAGTACCAAAGGCACTCTGTTGCGGCAGTTTATGACATCTCGATTCACCCACATTATTTAAAAGCTCCAATGCTCTAAAATACGGAAGCAAAACTCCACGGCTCCGACGGCCTCAGACAATTTATATTGCAAGTGACAGTATCATTTTTTCCGCGAACTATGCATTGTTTTGCCAAACCGTCGCTACAGCAAAATCTGTATCTCTATTTCAGCGATCGATCACAGCCAAAGATATTTATAGCTATATCTTATAACTTGTATACTGGTACCTTTCGTAACTCGGGTGACACTGTCGTGACATTCCCAACGACTCCACATGTCCAGCGCAGTGTCTGACCTGCTTTCAGCTATTTAGCAGTTCTCCACGTCTTAAATTCCAGTAAATCATACAGTTAAGACATTGTTCGATTTAATAGAATAATTCAAGAATCGAAATATCACGAATAACATGTTAGAATAAGGTAGCTCTCATTGAAATCCTTGATTTTCATCCCGATTCATTGAGCTGCATGTGCATTATTTTGGCATGTATTTTACATTTTACATTCTACTTTTGATCTTTTATTTTGTTTCCTCACATATTTTTCTCTTTATCTTCGATGCCATTAGATCAGCCTTCTCCGTATCCAAAAACCCAACCAAGCTTAAATAACATTGAAAGAAGCATGTACTTTTTCTACGAGTGTTCACAGACATGTTTCACAGACCGGAGACGATTATAGCTGTGAGAAGACAGATACAGAGCAAAATTGAAATAACACATGTAATACAGTCTATTGCGCACAAAAGCGCACCATCCTTGAAAAGCAACTTCAAAATTTATTTCTAGTTTTAACTTTAAATGGAATTTTCTTCAAGGTGTATGAATTCTGTTAAAAGTTAATATAAATAGCGGCAAAATTCTAATTTAGTTTTGTCCGGCATTGGATTTAAAACAGAAAAATCACGATTAACCACCCAATATTCCTCTTTCTTCAAAGTACATCATTTGCTTATCTCCCACGAATACAGAAAAGAAAATGAAGATACTGGTACATTCTTTTAAAAACTTCACAACTGAAGTGTTTTAGTGTCAAAGTTAATATTAGTAAGCTTTAAACCAATGTCAGAATTTGGAAAGAATTTTTACAAATTTAAAAAGAAAAATTACATCTGCTACGCTAATTTATTGAAAGATAATAAAATTAATTTGTTATTGTACGTCTTATTATCGCATACAGTGTTCCGGTAGTATATTTCAATATAGTATCGCATATAGTGTTCCGGTATATTTATATTTCAACTATCGGAAGTATCTGTTCTGTGTATAAAAATTATCCAATCTAGTTCAATATTTACCATTAAACTGTCAGTTAATTTAAAATCGTGTGAGATGCATTATTAGATGTGTTTAATCCAACTATTAGAAAGGTGACAAACTTAGCATTCTCGCTCTGAACACAGAGCTCATAAATAATGATAAAATAATGACAGCTATAAATAATGATTTAATCAATGTGATGTGGGTTTACGAATCCAAAGATTAACTGTCTGGTCTACCTCATTGCCTACACAATTTTCCTTTCTCTACAAAGGGTTTACCTCAATCACTTATTTAAGGGCCCTTAACATTTTATTTCCACATCATTTGTTTGTCAACTTTTACCTCTCTCATTTATAATCATGGTTTTTTCATCACTCTCATAGTTGGATTTATTTGCTGCAAAAATGGATCATTTTTTTATGTCTATGCATTTTTACGTTTTATTTCCCTCAAAATTTTTAACTTTCTGTCTTACTTACTTTTTTTTTATGTTTTTTTTTTTCATAAACGTACTCATTTTGTGTGAGAAATACGATTATTAAATTTAATTGATACCGATTCTTTGTATTATTTAAAACTGGACGTAATTGTTTCACTTAAAATTGCAAATTAGCAGGTAATTTTCTTTTTTGTTTTCTTCCTTTCTGCAATTCTATAGCTATTTTCCTCTCCACAAGATAATAATACCTACCAGCATACACATTAAAGATGACTTCCTTATTGCAGGTATTTCCACAAAACTAATTTAACACTAGGATTATGAAATCAGATTTTCTTTACAATTTCATGCAGTTTTCCCATTTGCAATCATTTTTCGGAATAATCTCATTTTTAGGCAGTTTTTTACATGACGTCAAAATGAATCGCTTCTTTCCCGTTGTTGGATGACATTTAACTCTGCTGAACGTCAATGAGGGAAAAAGGTTTGCAGAAGTCAAACAAGGAAATACCACAAGTTACCGACGTCAGCAACGAAGAGAAGAAACCGATGTTATCCGATCAACTGTCACAAAATGACACGTCTTGCAGATGCGACTT